AAAGTTAGTTACACAATGACCAAGGATATTTGTTTGTGTGTGTGTAGGATGAAATTCTGTTTTAACGAAACGAGTGGGCTTTAAAAACAGTATTCTCACGAGTGTCGAAGCCACGGGTGAGAATACTTTTATTAAGTTCACGAGATGAAAAAAGTACATCTTACACAACAAACAAATTTTCTTTTAATTTCATGCTTAAAAACAAGTTAAAACGAAATTTCCTTAATACTAACTTTAATATTAAAATGTGTTTTCTCCATTGAGGGCCTCATTTAATACAAGAAGTCTTGGGCTGAATAATAATAATTTCGACAAACAACGTTAAATGGCGGTGACATTTTTCATTTTATTATAAAATATGAATTATCGCTTGTTTTAATGATAAAAACAAACAATTTTAGTAGGAGTAAAAGTCCAACCATCCATCCATATTTCTGTTACTTACTGCGAATTTATATAAGACCTGGCTCTGTGAAATGTAAGCGGCCGCAATGTTTATAAGTTTTGTATTTCAAGGAAGGAAAATAATTGTGTTTGATTCAGAGGGATATCATTTAGATTTGTTAGTCATACACCTTTTTAAAAGAAAGAAAATTTATTTGAGGATTATAACAGACAATAAATAAATGTTGACCGATGTGTAAACATTCAAAAAGCGGCTAGAAAATTGGAAAACGTAAATTGTTGAAAGGCTGCCTTACGAACGCTGTATTGTTTACTTATTCTTCGGGCTGATGGCTGTCATTGCGTTTCAGGTTTTCATTAAGCATACGGCAGTTATTGCTCGTAGAACACTTAAATATGCCCAAATGTCATCAAAAGCAGTTTGCATGTAGATGGAATGTATTTTCAGACTTTGAAAATGAAACAAAAAAATTGGGAGACGATATTTGGTGATTGGTAATTTGAATGAATAGAAGTAAATTTTCTTCTTTTATTACTTTTGACATTTAATTCATTTATCAGCTTTACTTTTCTCTAAACAACCTGACATTGTCAGAATTGTGAGCACAAATAAAATTGAGGTACCACATGGGGAAAATCTTAAAAAGTAGTTTCGCCATTGAAAAGTGTGAAATTATATTTTGATAATTTTCACTGTAAAATTATCAAATATGATTTTCACAGATAAATCAATAATCCACTGAAAAGCATAAAAAACGACATGTTATGTAATCTTGAAGTACTAATTATGATATATTATATCCATTCGCATTATTAAATCTTACAAAGAGAACTGATGTGAGCACATATTGGTCTAAGTACACACTAGTACACTAGTGTCTAAAACTTCATGACCTAATAAGTATATTCATAATATATTCATAATATCTGAAATATCACAAGTATATGTCAACTTTATTTTTCGTTATAGCTGATATTTTCTTGAATACGAATGAGCATCATATATTACAATTTGCAAATATCATTTTTGAGAAAAAGCGTTTCATTACAAGTAGTATATAAGAAAATGGAATAAAGAAATTTTAACACTTAACTAAATGCAAAAATCAGATGACATACAGATAATGATAATGTTACTCTATAATTTAATGTAAAATTGGCCAATTTTGATATTTACATGGCGAAGATCAATCTTTAGGACAAAGACACGAGCATAAAAGCAGTAAAAACTTGTTTGTCTTACATGCAAGAGAAAAGCACATTATGTACAAGTACAACAGATGTTATATTTTTCACTCTTGCCTATACCACTTATGTAAATATTGCATCCGGTGCCACCATACATAACCCGCCTCAATCCAACAAGTAAGACAAACAAATATCCATTATATATTATACCAAGAACAAGATAGTGCATCTACATTCATATAATGGTTGTTTGCTAATTGAAATAACAATTTGACATTACTTGTATATGCTCTAAACATATCTGATTAACAATCATTTTGTATATCCATTTCGTAATTATATAATGTACACGTCACTTAGACAAATATCCTTAATATACGTATTATACAAAGAACAGGATAATGCATTCATATAATGCCTGTTTCAAACAAGTTTTTTATGTACTAATTAAAAAAAACATGTCGACATAATGCTCTAAACATATCTTATTAACAATCATCTTTGTATAATTATACATTTCTTACTTAAATATTATACACATCACTATAATGTGAACATCCAACTTTTAATTCAAACATTTGTTTAACATAACATAGTAGACACATAATTCTAAATATCCTTATATTAATCTGTTACTGTCTATATACACACGACATTATCATTTTTAACTTTTTCAAAGGCTCTATATTATTCATAGGATTGTCTATCAGTTTCAACATTACATGTATTGCTTTATAAAAATGTCTTGTATACATAGATTACACACTTAAATTTGTCAATAAAACTTCACTATCAGATGAAATTAGATGAATAAAAATACACATATTTGTCTATACATGTATCTATATAACACAGGAATATAAACATCACTGTTACACAAAATAAAATCAATCTCCTAACACTTGACATATACTACATTGTCTCTGCTCTAAATGAATCTCAGTAGGCTTTGCCCATCTGTCGCTTTCAATATTTAGTCTATCAGATGACATATGAAACATTGATAAGCTAAAACGAAACTTTTGTATGTTGCAAAAATTAAGGATTGACTAAAAGCTAGCTATGTTTCTATAAAACAGAGCCCTAGTTGAGTCAGTCTCTGCTCAAGTCAGTGCAAACCTTATCACCTACATCTTGAAAAAGTCACATTTTATAAAAACCAATTGCACATTAAAGATTCCTCAATAATGAACTCCTTTCTTTTTAGGATATCTTTCACAGTCATTTAATAAAGTAATATATATTTTCTTGTTAACCTTATTATCTTTTATATGTGTATGCCTTATGTCTTACCCAATTTTTAAAATCTTTAAATATCTCAAAGTTTGAAAATGTATACGCTTAAGTTCGCCATAAATTAAATCATTTTGTGTACAAGAAGTTGCTTGTTAAACTGAATATAAACTCTTTCACATGGCAGAACCTTTTGTGAACCTCCAAATTTCACTACCATAATTTAAGATCGGCGTCATCAGCTTATCAAAATGTTCAAGCTTATGTTTCACTGTAATATTACATAGTTAATTTGCAAAGGTATTTATTCATTTTAAAACGAGTGTTTGGAAGCTGGTTCAGCTTAAGTATTTAACGAATCTTAAAAAAGAACCACCAGTAGAGAAAACAATTCATAAATAAATAAACTTATTTACAATTTCAGTTGTGTTGCCACTAATAAAAATGTATATTTACTGGTAAACGATCATCCTTTTCTAAATATCATTTTTGTTTTATCAGTGTAAACTATACGTTTCCACCTTTGACAATATCCATACAATATATCCAGGTTAGTTCACAACTCAGTTGCATAATTAGCAAAAATGATGATATCATCTGCATACAAAATAAAACATATTTTGAAAGTGTCAATATCAATACTATTTACTCCTTTTACTCTAAATCGTTAAGAAACATAGGTAATAGAAAAGTTGATAAGGATTCGCCTTGCCTTACTCCAAGAGTGCATTGATAGGTATCGATACCACTTAATTGATAAAATGTTTAACATTAGATTTAACAAATGAATACATTGACTTAATTATATCAAGATTTTTCACGCGAGCCTAACTGAATCAGTTTAAATCATAACTTTTTCCTTACTACATAATCAAAAGTTTTAGTAAAATCAATAACAGCACGATTTAAGTGTCTACCTTGGTTGATTAAATGAGCAAGTAAAGAATATAACTCAAAAATATTGGCTAAAGTGCTCATATTAGACCTAAAACCCGCCTGTACCACTAAATATATTGAGTTATTTTCCAATATGTCAATCTATTATCTAAAACACGTTTGAATAGTCTACCCTAGGCACTTAACAATGTAACCTTAATAATTATTAACATTATTTATACTACATTTCATATAACTGTATAGCATTACTACCAGACCAAGATGATGGGAAGTATCCAGTATAAAAATTTCTATTAAAAAGACTTCAATAGCAAATATGGATAGTTTTTCTTTCCCGTGTAAGAAAAATTAATTAAAATGCATATCTGATCCACTACTTTTGTTATTTTTTACTTTTTTAATCGCTCGTTCAATATCATTTATTATTATCTTTTCACTGAGTTCATCAAACATTGCGTTAAAATCTCATTTCCATACCTTTCCAAAAATAGATAGTATCTTCACCAGGTTTAAAAATGTACTGTTTGGATTATGTATACTTTTAAAATACTGCTCAAGAACTTTAAGTGAAATGTTACTACTCTTTAACCCAGCTGAGCTTTTAAGCATATTCGTACATTTTAGCATTTTACAGTGTACAATTTCCAAGCATTTTGTTTGAGCTTTATCATAATTATACCTGTTTTTCCAGATACAAAATTCATAAGCTGACCTTGCTCAACTTAAAGCTTTCCTGTTCTCATCCATTTATTCTGTCTAAACACATTTTAAACACTATAAAAAAAAATTTTCCCCAGCACATTCAGTTTTTGGAACAATTTATTATGAGTAGAAAATTACTCCTTCTATTAATATATTGTTTGAAAAAAGGAAATACAACACCATCTAAACTCTCGGTCATTTTTTTTTTACATAAATCAATATCATCTGAATTAATACTATTCTGAACATCATTTACCCAATAATTTAATATACCAATATTACTGTCACTACCAAGGCTTTCTTTACATGCTTTAAAAGCCTTCATTATTCATTCTTCCATATGAATTTATAATTCTGTCTAAATAACTGTTTTCTAGTATTAACATTATAACATTCTTGTTTGTTTTAAGCAAAATAGAAACTGATTTTACAATGATATGACAAAAAATTAGGTTGTTTTGAAGAAAAAAAGAATAAGCAAATTTTATCAGGTTTTGTGTTGAAATAACCTAATCTACTACGTTTTCCTGTTTTCCCAACATAAGTAAATTCTTTTTTCATCTTACAGTCTTCGTTTAAAATTCTCATACCACTTTGCTTACAAATATCAAGCATTTGTATTCCATTATTATTAACACGACCTTTGAAAGAGAGTTTCTCAGAAGGTAACTATCTTCAACAAAATCATCCCTAAAAATAAGAATGTGCTTCACAAGATCAGGCAATTCGAATGTAAAACCATTAATGTCTCCTCAAACAAGTAGATGTTTAAATTTAGATATTTTTTATGTCAATTTCTAGGATATAAGTTAGTAATCTACAGAACAATGTCATATCACTTCCAATTAATGGTTGCCGAGAGCTACCTTCTGGGAGTGCATAACAAAGTATCACATACATGTATAAATCATAAGCAGAAATTTGAATGCACAATATATCGTTATGGGATGTGAAAACAAGTGAAACAAGTGGGTGACTAAATAGTTTCTTGTATGTGCTATTTGTCCACCTGATGCCTTTGTGCTAGTTTTTAACATTTATATGTATAATAGTGAACAACAATATGGATATAATAACGTAGGAGTAAGTTAGTTAGTTAGTTAGTTAGTTAAGTTAGTTAGTTAGTTAGTTAGTTAGTTAGTTAGTTAGTTAGTTAGTTAGTTAGTTAGTTAGTTAGTTAGTTAGTTAGTTAGTTAGTTAGATAGTTAGTAAGTAAGTAAGTTAGTTAGTTAGTTTGTTAGTTCGTTAGTTAATTAGTAAGTAAGTTAGTTAGTTAGTTATAAATGCCATCACTTTTAACAGTGCCTAATTAATCAAACTGAATAATAAAATTTTGTTTGGATCATCTATTTGTATGAAAACAATCATTTACTGTCGAAAAGGGTTTGAAGCCATACCATAAATATTATGAGAAACTGTTGTTTGATTTTGGACGATATTTAGTTGTTTGTTCCCTTTTTACACTAATAACTTTCTAATGGGTGTTCTTGTTTCATTTCACTCAAGATTTTTCGATCGACATAAACACTAGGATATTTCTCCAGAATTTTACATAAAGTCCTAAAGGTACTATCTTCGTCTTGCATAACCCACGTCAGGAACATATCATAGATGCGTGAAGTCACGGTCATGTTATTTTCCAAAATATGATGAAGTTTCACGTTTCTGATTCCTAACGGCGGGCCAAGTATTTGCCAGTTCCTTCCTACTGCTTCTGCAAGTCGAGACGCATCTTCTTCAGTAAGTTTCCAATCTTCGTAGCATGTATCATCTGTATCTAAAAACAATTCATGATTACCAAACAACGTATTTATCTGACAAAAGGACTGACTTGCAACTTTACAATAAATTAAACACTAGAATATGATGTAAAGTGAATTTATGTTAATGATAAAAAAAAAATAAAAGGCTATATATAAGGAATAAGAACGAAAACAGAAACAAAACTATTCCTGCAGAAATTACCCTAACAAACATGACCGGACATAGTACATAAACGGTTCCTACTTAGTTTGAACAATAATCAAGTATCCAGCTTTTGTTTTGGCCTTTGTAATGAATTTATTTTTGTTGAAATTCAGTAAGTTGATGCTGGGAAATAGCTAGGCCAAATTATTTAATGTTCCTTGATAAAGGCAGCATAATGTATGTTAAAGCACATGACTCCATTATTGTATGGCTACGATGAAGAAAACTTGTCAAAAACAACAAAACACAATAAGAACTTATTCATCCGTAAATTATCAAAACCTGTTGCTGAGAAAATAATTTGTACAGACGTAATAAATCACCAGTTTAGTATGTTATTTATGAGACACACATTACATGTATTTTATCACATTGAAGTGATATTCGCTACGTGCATAAAAAGGTCAAAGGCTATCAGATGTCCTTATTTCCTTGGAAATATATTAACTTAAATCTGACAACTCCCTACGCAGTTCCACACAATAGAAAAGCGTATTAATTCATTTAAACCATCTAAATCGTTGAAACTTTGAATTATTTAGATTATCGTTATTAAGTATATATTAAAAAACTAAGACTTTAAAGATGAGCACAAAACCTTAAACGTGACTCGGTGGTGATGTAACCTGTGACATTTCAAAACATTCAAATCTTACTAACTTTTAGAGTTAAAGTGTCTGAGAAATCAAGGTAGCTTGTGCAACTCTATTTAGCAATGAAGATTCCTTTGAAGTTTGTTGAGTCGCAGTCCATGGAATTACTGATTAATAGGTAGCGATACTTTTTTATTGTTGGTAAGTTGCTCCTTATCGAATCTGTCAACTCTTTGATTCCAATTTAACTTTGAAATTTTTGTTGTTGAGAAATTTTGAAAAAAAAAAACAAAAAAAAACAACAAAAACCAAACATTTTGAAAACCAGAAGGGTGGTTATTTTTCCTGACACTTACCTTCCTGTAAAGAATGATAAAATACTTTATCAAAGAAAGACTTATTGGTAAGAAAAATGAGTTTGCGATATATAGACTTGAATTCAAAATATACAGTATGTACCTGTTTCCAATGTTTTGAATGAATATGTATTTGTGGGCAACGACTCGCCATCATCGCTGATCAACCTTACATCAACGGAATATTCGGATGCTGGTTTAAGATCATCTAAGATACAGGAAACAGCTGCAACAACTTCAACAAGTATTTTCTTTTGTGGCTTATTTTTCTCTGCATAAGTCACAACGTATTTTGAATTTGAGCTCATCTTGTCATCCCTGCATTTTTGCCAACGTACATTAGCTGTATTCTCTAATATATCATAAACTTCAAGGAATTCAGGAGGTGCCGGCAGCGCTAATAGAGAGATGTTTATTTTACAAAATTAGATTTATTTGCCAATTTATTCAGTTTTCAATCATTCAAGAAAATAATTTTGTTTCTCTTAACCAATGAATAAAATTTGCTTTGATTTTCTCATATTATCTCAACAGTTTTATTGTTGAGAACCAGATTGTTGAGAACAAGAAATCTGTCCGCAAGACAAGGATGCGTCCACATTTCAAAGTTTCATTAATCTACTGACTCTAGATCCAATGTTTTAGGGCTATATGTGACGACAGTTGAAAACTGAAAATCTTTTACTAAGTTGACGAAAGCTCGACAAATTCTGAATATATCCCAAAGCAAACCACAAGGTGGATATCTACACATGCTGACCAACATTTTTGTATACTTTCAGGACTAGGGGTCAAAAATTTTTGAGATATGCACGAACAAAATGATAATTTAGACTAAGTCAAGGGCAATAACTCTTACAAAACTGAAAAATACACATGGAAAATACCAGGTGCAAAGCTTCACAGTAATGTTGATCATCATTCCAAAGTTAGTTGTACTGACTCAAGAACTCAATGAACAAATATCACAACATTTTTGGAATGGTTGTTACTTAATCAAGGGCAATTACTCTACAAATGACTCTCTGTCAAGAAACTTTTTGAGATATACACAACACGAGTTGAAAATTGCAAATTTTAACTAATACAAGGGCAATAACTTTACAAATACACAATAAATTCACAAGTAAAAACCCAGGTGCACAACTTTACATGCTGATCAACAGTCCTAGAAAGTTTCAGGACTTTAGGTAAAATACTTATTGGGATACGTGCTACACATATTTGAAAATTTAAAGTAAGTGCAATAACTCTGACAAAGCAGAATCAATTCACAAGCAAAACACCAGGTGCAAAGCTTCACAGGTGTATTAATCATCATTCCCGTAAAATTGGTTGATTCAAAGAACAAATAACACAGCATTTTTGAATGGTTTTTACTAACGCAATGGCAAATACTCTACAAATAGTGCATGAAACTAAAATTAAACCCATCAGGTACACAACTACAGACCAACGGTTCTGTAAAGTTTCATAAGGAAACACTTAGGTGCACAGTTACACATGCTGACCAACATTTCTATAAAATTTTATGACACTAGGCAAAGTACTTTTGGAGCTATGCACGTCAAAATAGAAAAGAATGCAAATTTTTACTAAGTCAAGGACCCTAACAGAATAAATCCAAAAGAGAAACATCATGTACACAACTTCACATCTTTAGCAATATTTCTGTAAGGTTTCAAGACCCTAGGTCAAGTACTTTTTGAGGTACGTGCGACACAAGTTGAAAATGGCAAATTTGTACTTACTCAAGGGCAATAACTCTACATATAATCAATAAAGCTACACGCTAACACCAAGGTGCACAACTACACATGCTTATAAACAATCTTGTAAATTTTCATGACTGTAGGTAAAATATCTTTTGAGCTACGCGCGACAATAATTGAAAATTGTCAATTTTTACTAAGACAAGGGCCAAAACACTGACAAAACAGAATCCACAATTGAAACCAAAGGTGCAAAACTTCACGTACTGAGCAAAATTCCTGTAAATGTTTCATGACCCTATGTCAAAAACACTTTTCGAGCTACGTGCGACACAAGTTGAAAATTTGGGCAATAACTCTACAAATACTAAATCAATCCACACGCAATTACCCAGGTGCACAACTAGACGTGCTGACCAATATTCCTATTAAAAGTTTCATGACTCTAGGTCAAGCATTTTATGAGCTACGTGCGATACAAAAGAAAACTAACGGATGGATGGATGGATGGACGGACGGCCAAGGGTAAAGCTAAATGCCCCTCCCCGCCCTATTATGAGGACACACACATTATCAATTTTTAGTGCCGTCTTGAAGAATAATATACGTTTCGAGTTCAAATGCGCAGGAATATAATAACAAAGCATTTGAGCGATAAATCGTGCAATAATATACTACAAAATACGGATAATGAATATTTATTTTCACTGTAACATGCTATATAAAAAAGAGAAATTATAAAAAATATGTTGAACTACATTGAGCGAAAGCGTATTTTTTCTAATGTTATTTGTTTTATTAACATCAAATCTGACGGCATATGGCGTGTGAGTATTACTTTTGTATGCCAGGCATACATGTATATCGTATAATATTACACTAGACTGTCCTGTCTGTTTTATAAGGGAATAATGTGAAGCATATTAGATAACATTGGAAGAGGACTCTTTTATTGCCTCTTTAAGACATAAAGATAAAGGTCTTTATTTAAAGAGTTTTGACTGATGCCTGTCTGGTATTGATTAAACTTTGTCGGTTCAAATATTACTTATTTATTGGCAATCAACTGGTTCATCATATGCTGGTTAATATTAGAACTGCATAAAGATCATAACACGTGTATTTGCAAAGATTGTTTTTTCTGATCATGTAATGTTCATGGTATTGTATAAAACACAGCATGTTTTGGGAAATATGAATTAATAAAATATACAAAAAATGTACTTGCATTTATGTTTTAGAGCTGACTCATCATAAACAATAGGATTTTCACCTTCACTTCTACAGTTTTCATGATCTTGCTTCCTAATTCCTAAATAGACATATTTATCACAATAATATCGTTAAATGCGAAAAAGAAAACAATGCTAAACAAATCATTAGTTAGAAATAAGACATATAACAATTAAACTCACTTAAGCATGTACACAACGCGTGCTCATCATGTTTAAAAATAAGAAGTCCTGGTAAATATATTAAGGTGTCAATGCTTCTTTAAATAGAAGTTAAAGATGAGAAAAAATCTACTAATCTCAATCTTTATCATGAACATTAATCTCTTCCAAGTTCTTGATTAAACGTAGTGTTAGGCATAGAAAATAAGAGCTAATCTACTTGTTTCTAAAAGCAATGGCGAAAAAAACATTTCGAAATTCACCTTTGTCAATCGCAACCACCAATTGCTTAGGTGTTCCATCTTTTCCATAAGTAAGGTTTTCTCTCGATCCATCATCATTCCATCTTACCTATGTTTGAGACACATTACTTTTTTATTTGATGCTTCCTATTTTCAAGTACTTATTTCGAGTGAAAATGTCAAACATATCTAGTTTAACATAAAACTAAATTATAAAACAAATGTTACCGTCCCGTTCCATCAAGTATTTAAAAAATATAATAAATAACCATAATAAAAACTTAAATTATATGCCAAATCGTTGAGTAGTCTTGGTCAGATAGGAAAACAATATGAGGTTATCATATGTTAAAGATATATAAACTCATGTTAAAGTATGTCTAAATGGTCCTTGTAAACGGGAGGTTATGAATGGTCAATGCTTTCCTTTAAAATAAAGTTTAAATGAGTAATAATGTCAATTCATTGGTAACTATTTTCTAACAAACTGACGTCGTCCTTGGCATGCAGTTTTATTCTAAAAAACGCTGTAAAGATGTAATTTTTATGCAGTTCATTTATAAAATGCGCTAAATCGCGGCTCATCTTGCAAACCCCATGCTATATGAAGTTACAAGCATTGGTAAAACTAACGGAAACACCAGTCTGATAAGGAAACAATATTGCTAACTTACATGCAACATAATTTTTATATTAGAAAGGAGATGCTAAATGTATGACGTCTTTGATAACAATGAAGTTTGTTCAAACCTGCATTTTGTTATCATCTACATATTTTATGGCAATTCCAATCACATGGGAGGAGTTTCCTTCATAGCCTTCTCCTAAAATTCATCATAATATCAGACACAGATCACATGCTAAATCAGAAAATAATAGAATAATCAAAACTCAAGTCACACTTAAACAAACATAAAGCTAACCAAATACTCAGAAATAATAGCATAATGCTTTAAAGATCTTAAACATTTAGTACCATAGTACTTGAAAATCGTTTTTTTTTTTTTTTTTTTTTTTTTTTTTTGCTTGCTTTAGATCGAAAATGAATCTCCTTTATGATTTATTGGAATATCTTAACCAACTTATCAAATATTCTTACAAAAATACACTGGTACCTTGCATTATATTTCATCAAATTTTGAAATCATTTATTGAAAATATCTTGAACATGTAATTAGTGTACTGAAAGAAATGACAAGATCATTACATTTTTCGGCGGTTCAAAATTAACAGCTCAAAATAAACCCTAATCTAGTGAATTCAATAGGATTTTATTTACAGTCATACATACTTAAAAAAAGATAACTGATATTAGACAGAGTTTTAATTTGCATCTTCAGATTTTTAAGTGACATATTGCTTAGGATGTCTACCTGGAATCTACTTATATTGCCAAGACATTTTCACTGCCTTATAAAGTTACACTATTGTTCTCGCTTTGTGTATGCCTAATAAAATTTGGTACAGAAATAGTTTCGAGTTAAAAGAAATAAAAATGACATTTATTGGTTAATAACAGTCTTAAACCTTACACGTGACAATATGTCTTCTCTGAAATGGCAGTGTATAAATTTTACATATGTACCTGGGACATACAACAACATTCCGTTTTGCAACCGTTACTTTCTTTAAGAAAAAAGAAGTGTTATTCTTAGTTTGATATAACTATTTATCATACTACACTTAATGACACCATATAGTGCCATTCGTATCGCTATTGCCGCCTTGCAAACATTCTTAACCCATTACGTTAATATATACACGCCTTTTAACGCCTTTTTCACCCACCCCCTTTTGTTGTCTCAAATGGTGAAAAAATGCCTTATTTAGGCCCCCAATACTTGTTTTTGTTTGAGAAATGTTGTTAAAAAAGTGACCTCTTTTTCGGCGCCGTCCCCCAACCAAAAGATACATCAGGGGGTTGCCAGAAGGGGAATGTGCCCCCTTCTGTTTGGGGGGTTTGAAGGGGGCGGTGTCCCCCTCATCGCCAAGAAAATTTTGGACTTGTGAGAGGCTATAAATGACCCCAGATTGATCATAAGGTAACGTGTAACCAACGCTGAAAAGCATTTGACTCTATCTCAATCCATTGAGAAGATGCAGGACTTTGAAATCAATTTTGATGGAAAAAATCAACGCAAAATAGTGATTTTGGCAATTTTTAGATGTCCCCTCGTTACCATGGTAACAGAAAATTTAAGTCTGAGCATTGTTGTTGGAAGGGCAATGGTCCGGTCAACATTTGTGCCAAGTTTGATTAGTGTTGAAGCAGTTTTTATAGTATTATACCAATTTGAACTTGTAACGGGAGACTTTTCAATGAAAACAGCCATTTTTCACAAAATGGTCATGATGTAATGGGTTAATGAAAAAAATAAAAAAATCTACAAAACAACAATTTTTTCTTCAAATTCATATGACATGCCATGTTTAAACATGAAAAAACACGATTTAGGGTAATTTCAAGTATTTTCATCATTTTCTGTTAACCCATTACGTTAATATATACACGCCTTTTTACGCCTTTTTCACCCCCCTTTTTGTTGTCTCAAATGGTGAAAAAAATGCCTTATTTAGGCCCCCAACACTTGTTTTTGTTTGAGAAATGTTGTTAAAAAAGTGACCTCTTTTTCGGCGCGGACCCCCAAACCAAAAGATACATCAGGGGGTTGCCAGAAGGGGGATTAGCTATAAATTACCCCAGATTGATCATAAGGTAACGTGTAACCAACACTGAAACGCATCTGACTCTATCTCAATCCATTGAGAAGTTGCAGGACTTTGAAATCAATTTTGATGGAAAAAATCAACGCAAAATAGTGATTTTTGGCAATTTTGAGATGTCCCCTCTTTGCCATGGTAACAGAAAATTTAAGCCTGAGCATTGTTGTTGGAAGGGCAATGGTCCAGTCAACATTTGTGCCAAGTTTGATTAGTGTTGAAGCACTTTTTATAGTATTATAGCAATTTGAACTTGTAACGGGAGACTTTTTTAAATGAAAACAGCCATTTTTCACAAAATGCTCATGAAGTTAACATAAAAATTGTTTATTTAGAAAAGACACGATATTTTGAGACATCAATAAAAATAATTGTATCATATATTGCTAAAACATTTGCATACATACGTTGCAAAAATGTAAACGAAATATCTCAAAACCTTTACTCTTTGCAAAACGTGTATAGTCGACTTTCAACAATTATATTAACAAAATGTTTTAAAGCAAACAAAGGCCTTCAAATCATTTACAGAAAGTAAATATTTTCCATAAAACTATATATAAATCTTGTCTATTCTATACTATTTTCACATACCAGGTGCGACCTTGCATCCGACCATTAAAATTTCCTCTTCTTCAGGTTGTCTGTCTTCATCAACAATAGTCAAGTCACATTTCCCATCCATATCCCATCTGTAAACATTAATTTCTCCTCCTATGTCCCATTCAACCCAACACCAGTACTTCCTAAGTTCTACGATAAGAAATGCCAACCATTGCTTAAACGTTTTGAAAAATAAGTCAAATTGTATTCGCAAATTAAAAAATAAAAATACAACACCTTTTAAGCAAGAAATTCAACGGTTGAAATGAAAAAGTGCGAACAATTCTTAACATACACAGTTGTATGGTGAGGTGACATTTCCGAAAAATAAGTTAAGGGTTGTACTATGTCAACGCTTATGTTCATTTAGTTCTTTAATGTGAAACACATGGACCCTGAAGTTTTCAAGATAGAAACTGAATAACATGCTTGAATTGAATGGGTAGATTTGTTCCAGCTCAAAGGTCAGAGGTAATTCAATTTAAGTTGAATTTCAATCAAGAGTTTTATATGTAAGTAAAGAGCTGTGGTTGAATTTTATAGTAAAAAAGTTGGATATAAAACGCATTAAATGTTTAATCCGATGCCATATCTGAATCTAACTAGCTTGAAGATATAATTCAAACATTTAAAAAGCTGTGTTTCGAACTAAACGTGAATTTCTACACAGCTTTATCTTCAGTTATTTAACTGGTAAGTGTTGGTAGTTCTGGGCACATTTTATTGTTTTTGGAAGCTGGATACTTATCTATCTAACAAAAAAATATCTAGTAAGTTTGATAAATATTTATAATTCATCTTGTTATCATGAAAACTTAGTACATGTATCTAGTCAGGTAGTGAACACGATAATCATAAGGTCAACTGTTAGCAGAAATATGACCCCATAGAATTATTTATTTTTATTGTGCTTACACTAAATATACATCTCTGAGAAACAAACAAAAATGATCAGGAGACAATCTCTGAATTGATGAAAAATTTAAATTAATATTTTTGAACCGTTTGATTTTCAATTGTTACTTTATTTGCATTATTTGTATATAAATTGAACATATGCTTATTAATATAATTGTATATGATGAATAGTTTAACGCAAATTGTCAATAGTTGAAATGACACTATTTGTATACTGCAAACAGATTCTAAAATTGGTAAAACCCATCACAGTTAAAAGATCCATTTTTTTCATGATTTTATTTCATAAATATGATGCTAAAACTAAGATTTGGCAATATTGTAAGTTCCATTAAGCATTATTTATAAAGATATTATGTAAATAAAGGGAGGTAATTATAATTTATTTTCTATAAATTCTAAGTCAAATTTTCCAATTAGAAATTAATGCATATAATTTATAGATTAAATATAATGTGCACAAATATTTACAGTACACATTTAACATATTTTTCGATGTGTGAAAAGTGTTTTATTTGCATAATTTTATACATATATAATGTTTTGCAAGTGTGGTATACACACAGTTACAATATCAATCATAAAACATACAGGATTTTTAACGTATAAAATATGAATATTGTATGTCAATTTATTTTCAAGTATTACAAATTATATTTGAGGTTTATTGTGGTATTGCAGTTTCACATACCGTCGTATAAATGTCCAACAACAGTTCCAGGACCTCCATTGTCTTGATCTGCCCACATCCAATCTCGGCCACGTCTAACTCTACAACCGATTGGTGCGTGTTCTTGCATCTTTTGGAGTTCGTCGTAAGAGCTTGAATTAATCATCTTCTTCAATACTGTGATTGCAAGTTCCTATGAAAAACGTTGGTATATAACATAATTGTGTTCTAACATTGTGATATCCTTGTATGATTAAAATACCCCCGTCCTTAAAAATCAAGTAAAAATAAAAATATTTCCTAGTAAAAACATGGATCTGGTTAAAGATTTCCTGCAGTTATCTATCATTCAAAAGTCCAAAGAAAGAATTGTCATAATAACGATGAGTAGTGGATAAACGTTTCAGTGTTATGTGACATTAACTTAAATATGAATAAACAAATTGTTTGCTACGATATTTTAGAATTTTAATACCTACCAGCTTCTCTATAATTTTGAGTGCATCCGACTTCCGGTCATCCTTAAAATCCTTACAAAAAGAAATGAGTTATCATATCTAAGTATATTACAATTGGAAATATTTTGATATGAATAATACAACCGCAATTTTTTCATTATTTTTCATTATTTATTACGATAAATTTAACTGTGATGAGATTGACATTATATAGAACTGTAAACTGTAAAATATTTATTCGGAATATTTTGTACATGAATAACTAATATAATAAAATGTTTTAGTGAATTTAGCAAATATTTTTTGGCTAAAAAGCCATGCGAAAATATACTATGACCAAAAAAATGAAAAACTTTAAATGTAGTGGAGTTAAAGATATTTCAAACTTGTGAATCGAGTGAATAACTTCGATTCCATATGTCCAAGATACTTATATCTAAAGAAAATACGTGTGATAAAGGAACAAAACTCAAGCTAAACTTAGTTATATCCTTTGTCTAATGGATCTTTGGTTATAAATTAGTGTTGACTAACACAACTTCATTTCATTGTAAAAATTTAATAAGTAATTTCAGTCATCTATATATCAAGATAATACTAAAAAAATTCAATTTTTGGCATTATTGCTTTGTCTTTCTCCAACTATCATAAATTATTCCGGGGACCCGTGATAACATGTTTATAACAATTAATATTCAATTTCTTGTCTCTGACAAACTAAAAAAGTGTAACATTTCTGTTTTCTAGCGTTGTTTTGTCAATATATGAATCAAATAAGAACAAAAAAAATGAAAAAGGAAAAAAGAAACAAGAGCTGTCACGCAAGTAAGGAATGCCCCGAAAAGGTTTTAGGTATGCAGGTATGCAGGTAAAGCATGCAGGTATTATGAAAAGAAAAGAGAATGAAATAAACTAATTTCTTACTATTGTTCTTGTGAGATTAAGTTTTATTTATAGCAAACTTAACAATTTTGGACATTATTCTTGGATGCAACACAATGTCATGATGTCGTAGACATTAATGGCAAGTTATTTAAATCCTCCTATGCATGACAATGTTACAGTTTGGAAAATAATGTGTACCTTTAAACTCTTCTTATAGACATAAGTACCTTCAAACTATTACAGTGACCTTGACGTTGAAGGTAGAAAAATGGGCCTTACATACAACATATTATCTAAATGTGGTAAGACATTTTAGCCAAGTTATTTTAAAACTCTTCATTACAAAGTTATAATCCGGACAAGAAATGTGTGAACTTATAATCTCTAATTGTGATAGTGTGAACCTTTAAAATATAAGTGTGACCTTGACCTTTAAAAGGGACGTGGTTCTTAGACACTACACAACGTTGTTATGTGATAGACATTTGGCAAAGTTATTTCAAAACATACACGAATATGTGTACCTATATTATAAACTCGAATTGCGATAAAATGAACTTCAAAATGGAAGTGCCACCTTGACCTTTGAGGTAGAGACATGATTCTTAAATGACACACATCCTCTTGATGTGATTGACATTTATGCCGAGTCTTTCAAAAATCCTTCAAAGCATGACAAACTTACAGCTCGGACACAACTGTGTGTACCTTTTTCCTCTAATTGTGAGAATGTAAAAGCTCAAAATGTTAGTGTGGCCTTGAACTTTGAGGTAGGAATGTAATTCTTGGACGCCACACATCGTCTTGATGTGGTTTACATTTATGCTCAATTATTTTAAGTAACAGTCAGGACACGAATGAAGTAAAGACGCACAAACAGACAGACAGACGGACTAACATACATACAGACAGACGGACGGTGCGATTTAAATTTTCAGCTCTTCGGCGGCATAAAATGTATGCATAATTTTATAATTTTACTAGCATTTAAATGTTTTTGAGGTCAAAAGTTAAATCGGAATAATTCATTGTGTCGGTTTGTTTTAAGTGTTGATATTTATTAGTAGACTCAAAAACTTAAACCAGAAATGTCTTTGACATAAATAAGACATATGCCTCAAACAACTAGGTATGGTACTGATTACTTCTGTAAAGTTTCGTCGGAATCCCGCAAGCAGATTTTCCTGTGACAGCCAGACAAGATTTTCTATTCATATCTCTGGCCGCCATTATGTGCAGGTAATGGTGAATGCGTCCGCAATATGCATAACTAGGTATGGTAATGATCACGGCAGTGAACTCCGGACAAGAAAATATCATTTAGAGCGCTAGCGGCTATTCTGTGCAGCGAATTTGAACGTGCCGGTTATATACACAACATGTGAATGGTACTGACAACATCTGTAAAGTTTCATTAAATGTTTGACCTGTGAAAGCTGAACAATATTTATCAACCTATAGCTCTGGATGCCACTTTGTGCAGCACAGTGAAACGTTTCGGCTATATACACAACTAAGGATGATATTGATCACTCCTGTGAAGTTTCATTGAAATCAGCAAACATTGTGACATGTGAAATTCGGAGATTATGCTTTTAAGCTCTGGCGGCCATTTAGTGCAGTTAAGCGGAACGTGTCGGCCATGTGCTCAACTATAGGGAAAAATCTGTGAAATTGCATTGACACTTAAGCAGCAGTTTAACTGTGAAAGCTGTACAAAATTATCCTTTCAGCTCTGACAGCCATTTAGTGCAGTGAAGCAGAACATGCCGGTGATATGCACAACACAGGATGGTACTGATCACTCATGTGAAGATTTGTTACCATCCCACCAGCAGTTCGACCAGTGAAAGCCAGACACGCTTAATGTGGACGAACGGATGGTCAGACGGATAGACAGGCAGACCGCGAAGGCAAAAACAATATGCCTCCTTTTTGGGAGACATTAAAAATAACATAATTGTACACAACTTATATAATGAGCAAAATTCAATAGTTTTATCTTATCAATTAAGGTTGTTTTATATTTCTTTTTGGAGTGGGGGATATCAAACTGAAGTAGTTAGTTAAACATTTATGTCATGAGTACAGTTGTGTCCAGATAAGATAATATTAGCAAAGATCATAAATTGACCTTAACGGTAAAGTTCTTTCTAAATAGTTAAACTTGTAAGTTTTGTCCTTAATGTGTTTTTGTTAAATATGTATCAAATCCTTAAATAGATAACAAATTTTCAATAATTTTTTATTATGTTTGTTAATAAGAAAATCACAAATAAAACGAGATTTTACAGGGATTTATCAATAGAACACTTAGTTATTGATAAACGATCATGCTTTGAAAATCCTCGACCCTAAAGTGCGAACAGCTTTCTGTTAAGACTTCATGCTTTGCGAGTAAAATCTTTCAGTAAATAACATACGGGTTAAGAGTCAACCATTAAAAACCTATACAAACTGATCGAAAGGTCTGGAATAAAAATGTAGCCTTAAACAATTCTTTAAAAATAGAACAGAAACAATCACCAATGACAATTCTGGAAGTAGGCCTGCACAATGTGACAAAAGTGGCAGCATCATAGTGTGTTCCTGAAAAAAGTTATTATACTCTCATAAGTGAGATTGATAGGCACCATATTTTGTTAATTAAATTCAAAAGATTGAATGCAAATACCATATGATTGGTATTATTTCTTATCAGCTAAAATTTGCATTCAAATAAATTATATTTTCTTTGTGTTTTTTTTAATGTTTTTGAAGTCGCAAGACAGCAGAATCAACCGGAACACTTTTGTGCCTAGTCTAACATATCCGGCTGCTACGTCTTACCGCAATCGGGTTCAAGCTGAATTCGAAAATTCCAGATATTTTGCTGACAAAGATAAAACTGAAAATGTTTCAGCTCGGATCTTTTCTCTGCTTGGCGTCTTTGACATGTGTGAGACCTAACCTGATTTTTGAAGCCAAAAATGGTTGAATGTGAGAGGAGGTAATAATGTGTGTGCTCGTTTAGGTGTGTATGTCGAGAATATTCTGCTATTTTGCAAATGCTTAATTAATTTTAATTATCGCAAAAACATTGCAAATGTGTTGAAATGACAATTTACACGATGATTTATGACTTAACATTTGTAAAGTACCATAGTATTTCCAACGGAAAAACTTATACCAGGGGCACACAGTCAGACCCAAACTTTGCCCCTATACACTCGGCAATCTGTTTTATAGTCGGGGGAAACGCCCTTGTAGAAATTAGATAGCCTCGTATTTCGATGATCTGTCTATTACTTGTCGGTTGTATAAATCGTTGTTGATATAACGTTGTAAATATGAAGACTCAAAATAACAGAGTGTTCCAAACGAACACACATTTAATAACTGTCACATGGACCCATCGTAAACGACACAAAGATTTTAAAATATTCCATCCGATTTTCTTCTTAAGGTAAACCTTAGCATCCTTTAAGAATTAAGACAATTTGGTAAAAACAAAGACAAACAAAAATAATCAAACCTTTTGAACGTCTTTATCTTCAGCTGGATCATTTACGCTTGTATTGCATGCACTAATTATATCTTCCAATTCTGAGGTCTAAAAAACGAATCTTACTTTTTTTAGTATGCAAAATTAAAATACATAAAATATCCATGGTAAATCTACGTCAATGCATGTAAATAAACTCACATTTTTATGTGTATTAACTACGTTAACTGTAAATCTTTGAATGCTGGATCTTTGTATTTTGGTTTAATCTACAATTATTTGCTTGTTTTTGTTATTATTTTCATACAACCAATAAAACTCTGTCAGCTGTGTTAGTTTCTGCTGACAAATAGTCCTATCATGTTTTAGCTCACCAGAACCGAAGGTTCAGGGTGATCAATTAGAATCAAAGGGGATTGGTACGGCGTCCGTCGACATGCGTCAACAATCATTTTCTTCTCTGATACTGCTGGACAGATTTAACACAAATTTTGTATGTGGCATTCTTGTGACAAACACGCTTAAATTTGCTCATATCATCTCAATTAGCCTCTTTTAGGGGTCAACAGAAATAAAAATAGAAAAACATAAAAATGTCTTCTTCTCCTCAATTAAATGATGGATTATCACCAAACTTTGTCTGTAGTATTCTTAGGTAGCCTTTTATCAAATTTGCTCATATTTATTTGATTGGCCCCGTTTAGGGGCCGCTAAAGCTAAAAATAGAATACGCTTTAATTATCTTCTACTGAACTTATTGATGGATGATCAAACTTTGCCTGTAGCATTCTTTGGGATTTTTTTTACTCAAGTTTGCTCATATTGATTGGCCTCTCTTAGGGGCCGCTAAAGCTAAAAGTAGAAAAACCTTAAAACATTTTTTTTGTATTGAACTAATAGGTGGATGATTACCAAATTTTGTCTGTGTCAATCTTAGGTAGTCATTTATCAAATTTGTTCAAATAAATTTGATTGGCCCCTTTTAGGAGCATTTAGATAAAAAAAATAGGAAAACTTTTGAACAACTTCTCCTACTACACTAATTGATGGATGATCACCAAACTTTGTATGTAGCATTGATATGTAGTCTTTTATGAAATATGCTGATATTCATTTGATTGGACCCTTGTAGGGGCCGCTAAAGCTAAAAATAGAATAAACTTTACATCCTCTTATACGGAACTAATTGATGGATGATCACCAAACTTTGTTTGTAGCATTCTTAGGTAGTCTTTTATCAAATTTGCTCAATACATATTAATTTGATTGGCCCCTTTAGGGGCCGCTTAAGATAAAAATTGAATACACGTAAAATCATTCTTTTGCACTAAACTTATTGACGGATGATCACCAAACTTTGTTGGTAGCGTTCTTAGATAGTCTGTTATCAAATTTGTTCAAATTGATTTGATTGACCCTTGTTAGGGGCCTCTAGAGCTAATAATAGAAAAAATCTTTTTATTTCTTCTCCTCCTGAATTCATTGATGGCTGATCACACAACTTTGTATGAAGCTTTGTTAGGGTTTTTTTATCAAATTCGCTCATATTAACTTGATTGAAACCTTTTAGGGGCCACTTAAGCTAAAAATAGAATAAACTTTAATCATCCTCTTCTACTGAGCAAATTGATGGATGGTCACCAAACTTTGTCTGCAGCATTCTTAGGTAGTATTTTAACAAATTTGCTCATATTTATTTGATTGGCCTTTTTAGGGGCCGCTATAGCTAAAAATAGAATACACTTTAATTATCTTTTTGAAGTGAACTAATTGATTGATGATCACCAAAATTTTTCAGTAGCATTCTTAGGTAGTCTCTTATCAAATGTGCTCAAATTTATTTGAGTGGCCCCCTTTAGGGGCCGAAAGAGCTAAAAATAGAATACACTTTAATCATCATTGTGTACTTAACTAATTGATGGATGATCACCAAACTTTGTCTGTAGCATTCTTAGGTAGCGTTTTCATAGGTTTGCTCATATTACTTAGATTGAACCTTTTTAGGGGCCGCTAAATTAAAGCTAAAATAGAAAAAAAATGTTGTACTGAATTAATTAATGGATGATCACCAAACTTTGTATGTAGCATTCTTAGACAGTCTGTTATCAAATTTATTCAAATTAATTAGATTTGCCCCTGTAAGGATCCTCTAGAGCTAAAAGTAGAAAAACCTTTTAACCACTTCTCCTACTGAATTAATTGATGTATGATCACCAAACTTTGTCTGTAGCATCTTTAGATAGTTTTTTTTATCAAATTACCTTATATTAACTCAAATGCCCTTTTTAGGGGTCGCTAAAGCTAAAAATTGAAAAAAAATAATACATTTTTTTTGTACTGTCCATGAATGGCTCAATCAAACCGAGCCTGCAACGTTTTCAATTTTGCCGTGTTGGGCTTTCTTTAGGGATTCTGTATTTATCTATTTTGTCTATAGCTTCATCTTATTCTGCTGAATTAATCTGTAGTAAAGTAAGAATCTGTTGCAAAAACAAATCAAGCAGAAAATCAAGATACTATGCACGACTAGGCATTATGACAAACATTACTTTGCAGTTTCACTGAAATTAACCAATCGGTTTGAGATGTAGCGCGGACAAGCTTATTTTACTATAAAAATCAACTTTACAAGCGGGGCCATAACTGTGCCAAAACCAAATCAAGAGGAAACTCAATATACTATGCACAACTAGGTATGGTGGCAATATTGTGAAGTTTCACTGAAATCCCACGGCGGTTTTGGAAATTTATCGAGAACAATGTTATCGGACGGAATGATGGAAGAACGAACAGACGGACCGTGCGATTACAATATGCCGCCCTTCGGGGGCATAAAAATTGCTATATATTGTAATATAAATTGTATGCAATACCTAAGTACCAAGATTATGTGTTTGCCAGTTCTCGGTGTCAAAATTGTCAACCGGGTCGTAATATCGCCGGATTTTTGCATTGAATCAATATAATGTATGTATTTCTATGAAACCGACTAAACAGATCCTCATTTACACGCAAGTTACTGCAGTAAAGCCCGAAAGTAAGGAATCACCCAGATCCAAAATTAAGAGCGTCATGACATGTACATTTTAATTTCTAATATATGGATGTTTGGATATTGAATTACATAAAGAACAAGGTTAAATACATTTAGGTCAAATCAAGGCCTCTAGCAAGTTTGTGCTGTTCAAAGGGAAATCAATCAGTGTTTGCTTGAAAACTTCCTTGACAAAGAATGCACAATAGACTAAAACGGTGAATTGTATATAGTATTTACACAGAAGCCTTTCATCTGTTTTAAGATATCTTCGTGTTCTCCTGGAAAACCCATCATCTCCGAAAACTGAAAAGGAAACAATTGTCAAACATTTTAGCATCAGGTAATTTTAAATTTTGCATTTTGTGTTTGATGAATGAGTGATCACCTTTACCTTAGAGTCAAGAAATAAATTCTTAAAGTTTTGCGTCGTCAGTTTTGTAGAAAACTACGTTGATAGTTACTGAAACGTGCTGCAAACTGGTTCGTCAATTTTCAGTTTAAACTGACGAAAAATTGTATCAACTTTTAGCATCTTTTGAAACTATTATAAGGTAAATGTGTGATATGACTGATATCATAATTCAAGCCATTGTTTCTTTGCATAATCGAAGGTCATAACCACAATTGAAACTATTTTGGAACAAGTATACGACTAAACATCCCCACAACGTTCAGAAGCGCTAAATAAGATTATTTTTACAGGCTTAATTTCGTCTTTGTCGTAAAACCTGGGACTGCCCCTGCATTGACACTTGTCATAATGTGATAACATGCCTTGTGTTGAAAACATTGAGTACCACTCAAACTGGTGATTATGGGTACGGGGGATGTTGCACTTTTTCATTACCCCCATGTACAATTTCAATAAAATATGATAAACAAGATCAACAAGGAAAGTCTACGTTCAATGAACACAACCTAAACACGTCTGCATTTTTCATGTAATTTTGTTGTGAAAAATGCTTCCGAGGGATCAGACTTTTCCAGCTTTTGTTGTCTAATATACATAATACTGCGATGATGTTTTTTTAAAAA